TGCCACAATAAGGGCGTCGTCAAAGAGGAACCCCTCTTTTCAAGACCTAATAGAGTGGAGGGAAAAGTATAGGAATCTTTGAAAAAAAACACCGTACTCTACAAGAAGGTCGAGCACAAGCACTTGCACTCTCTTTTCCATTGCAAATTGAATCCATTTATCAATGGAACTGATGAAACGACGATCTAAATCAAAGAAAAACCCTGAATTGTTCAATGTTTGAGCCTCTATGTTGTTTCAACACATGATTGACCCAATTGGCGTATCTACGACTGTTTTGAGGACTTTGAAGCTGCGTAACATGACATCAGCATCAAAATAGAGAGAATATGCTAACACTGATTTCATGTGGCAGTTCATGGAATCCAGGCACCAAATTGTACTCATACTTCACAAGAAAGAAAGAAAAGCAATAAGATGCATGCAATTACATCTATGCTATGACTAAAACAGATTAGAGAACTTACAAGGAATTTTCTGGCTTTCTTTTCAGATCTTTGTTCTCTGCTTTTCCGCATCTTTGGGTCTGTTTCTTTCCCATAAGATTAGTATTTCATCTTCTCTATGCAAATAGCACCAGGTTGAAGACAAATTTATCAAGGAAATTGGCAATTGGAAACTGCCAAGTAAATAATGAACCAAAGAAGAGCAATAGTCTCTTAATAGCCTATTTATACTAGGGTATACTTACCAATCCTTGTTTCTCCAAATCTTTCTCCAAAACTCTGCAAGAAACAAAAAGCTTGAAAAAAGGCAAACAGCCGAGAAAATAAAACAGAGAAAAGATGGGCATAATATAAACAAACAAATCCAGTCATAAAATCACGACGTAGGCCGTGATTAATTAGTGAATAAGACATTAAAAAACGTTCATAAAGAAAATAACGGCGTAAATTGGCGCGCGGCTATACTCTTTGAATAAAAATATATATTTAAGCGTATAGCCGGGCGGCTATACTATTTAAATAAAAATATGTTAAAGAGTACAGCCGCCCGGCTATAGTCTGTGAATGAAAAATATGTTAAAGCGTACAGCCGCACGGCTATACTCTTTGAATGAAAAATATATTGAAAGAGTATAACCGCCCGGCTATACTGCTTAAATAAAAATATGGCTTTTTATCACAAAACGTCCCACGTTTGTGAAACTATCAGATTGCATCCTTAAAGTTTTTTTGTATCAGTAATGGTCCTTAACGTCAATATAGGTGCTCTCAAAAAAATATTTTTATAGAGTCCCGCCGCGCGGCTATACTCTTTGAATAAAAAATATATTCAGTGTATAGCCGCGCGGCTATACGGCTTAAATAAAAAATATATTCCAAGAGTATAGCCGGGCGGCTATACCGTTTAAATAAATAAATAAATAAATATATATATATATATATATATATATTTGAGGAGTATAGCCGCGCGGCTCCACATGATCCTACGGCAGAACTTGCTGTGCACGAATCTCCCCTAAATAAATTCCAACTTGGACTTGAGTTGAGATCATGGCCTTGGATCAAGTCTAGCTGATATTTTCCACCACTAGTATTGTATTTTATCAACTTTCCTTTCCATGGCCCTTCACTCAGTTTAGAAACCAAAAGTTCCAAAACCACCCTTGCATAGACTTGATCTGAATACTGCATCTCTACAGGATCTGAATAGCCCACCACCAAGCAGTTTTTGAGTTTGCTCAAACCCTTTCCCTGCTTTGTTGCTGCTGCTTTTTGTCCTCCACCATTGCCTTCCACTGAAGCTCAGCCGCTTCCCCGACATCCTCATCTTCTACATATTTTATGATCTCATTCGGAAGCAAAGCATCCGGATTTATTAAATTCCCTCCCCCTCCTGCTTTCACCTCCAAGTACTTCTTAACCACACAGTCCCCTCGGATTTTAAAGTTTGATTGACGGTTGTAATAATTGGTCAAGGGCACCAAATACTCTTTCCTTAGCCGTTCCCACTCTTGTGTTAGATGGCGGGAAAAGCCTCCTCGCAATGCTTTCATTCAGAAAAATGGCTCCGTACTTTTCCTGCTCTGTGTTGGTGCAACACTCTGCAGCCCCTGATACCAAAAGATCAGCATTAATTTCCTCCTCGTCGATTTCAAGGCCGCCATCAGTTAAATAATCAGATGGCTCATTTTTAGCTTGTGCTGCTTCATTTTGTTGATATCAGACTTTAACCGATCCACGAAGAGATCCATAACCCCGTCATATAACCACCTATAACCCGGGTCACCGTCGTACCTCTCAGGATGAATATGCACATTCGCAGCAGCGTCTTCGACTTTGTCTTCTTGGCCGCCTCGATTATAAACTAAAAGGTTGTGCAGAATATCGACAATTCTATCCAAACTCAATCCCAAGGCAAGTCGGCAATAGAGTGGAGGTTTCGTAACAGAGTCTTGGGATGGTTGTGGAGGAGCCAAAAGACGGTCGTGTCGAACTTTCTGTAAGAAAATAAGTGAGACTCGACGCTGAAGATGAGCTTGAGAGTGGTAAGGGGATTGTAGGACCAGGCCAAGGGAAGGATTTGCTTCAGATATACAAGGCTGTGGTTAGTATCTATGTCCCATGGTCTGAGGGAGTTGGAAAAGAGATCAAGGGCAGGGGTCGCCGGAGGAGGGAATTATAGGGCGCATCTTTATATTTTCGTCGATTTAAGGTCGCATCTTGTTGTTGGCGATGTCAGCGTTGGGGTGGGAAGTAGCCATTAAAGGGTAGCTTCTTCTTCTTCTTTGGATTGGGATTGGTGTGGGTACAGCTACTAGTAATTTGCCTCTGCCGACAACATTGACACGGTTTCGGAGCCATCCTCCCGCTGATCCCGCTGCTGCTTTGTTCGGTGGTGTTGGAACAACCCTCGCACTCGTCAGACATACTTGCCCCGGCACCACTGGTTTATTCATCTGAATCATCATCATCCCTAAAAGCGAAATAGGACATGTTGCTTAGGGATAGGCTGTCTTTTACCGGACACTCCACTGCAAGGGAAATAGTACATGTTGCTGCTCTATACGAGAGAACCAACATATTACCAACATCAGGTGGAGGTCCTGTCAGTTCCAGGTCAGGATCATCTCCCCATATGAATCAGACCCACCCTGGCACGCAGACCCTAAACTCTAAAGAACCAGATCCGCCTAGTGCCGCCTAGACCCGCCTAGGGCCGCCTAGACCCGCCTAGAGCCGCCTAGCGCCGCCCAGACCCGCCCAGGCCGCCTAGGCTGATTTTTCGTAATGCAGAGTATGGATTGGAAGGAATGGTTTCAACATGAGGGGATATTTGCTTCCAAGGTTGGTAAAGTATGCAGATTCTGTTGCCCTTAGTGTAGGACATTAAACATATCCGTAGTCGCATAGGGTTTTTTTTTCTTCTTCTATATACGTTGGAAACGAAAAAAATTGTAGAAATAGGGAAACAAGCACAGTAGACATTTGTGAGAACCAACCAACCCTAGTCTGCAATCTGCATTAAGTCCAAACAGGGTTAAGCCTGTCCGAAAAAATTCGAGTTTCATTTACATTTTGTTTGATCTGTTTGATGATTTTTGCTCCCTTATATATCTAGGGTAAAAGACAGTGGTTGGTTAGTTGCTGCTCTCTCTCTCTCTCTCTCTCTCTGCTTGAGCCTCAAGCCTTGACTGATTAGGTCTTTATTTTGTTGGAGGCGATGACTCCTTAAATAAAAAATATATATATTTAAATAGTATAGCCGTGTGGCTATACTCTTTGAATAAAAAAATATATTTAAAGAGTATAGCCGCCCAGCTATATATATATATATATATATATAAGGCGTATAGCCGAACGGCGGTACTGCTTACATAGGCCATACTCTTTAAATAAAATAATATATATAGTATAGCCGCTCGGCTATACTCTTTAAATATTTGCTTTTAGGGATGTAAAAAGCCGCCCAATGGCCCGGAATTGAACGGGCCAGCTCTGAAATTGAAAAAGATATTAAAAATCAAAGACTCCTGTTTTGGAGTCCAATTTTCTTGATACCCTTTTTCATGTGCCTCCCTGTTAACCTTCTAATTTATTGACACATGTCCCTATACTTAACTTCTAACATAACAATGTTAACTCTTTTAATAAAAATAAAACAAAAACAAAGCTAATTATTAAATAAAAAACTAAAAACAACAGCCATTACAGCCCCATCGACCCACCCAACCTCAACCAAACCCCCCACCCATCCAACCTGGTCAGCCACCCCATCCCGTCGGTGGCAACCCCTCTCCTCCTTGCCTAACAACATAGTCAATCTCATTTGTTAAAGCCTCAAACAAGAATAACATTAAAGGGCTTCAAAATTGTAGGATGTTTTGTGCAATCAACCGTAGTGTGTTGTGGCCTCAACATCCCTTCACCGTTATATCATCTCCAATTTCCAAGTTGCTCTCAATCACTTGAAATAAAAAATTGAAATAAAAATTGAAATAAAAAATCACAGTACTCAATCCATCCACCAAGAATCCTAGTATTTTAAAAATACACCTAAGCCATAATATTGTCCTTTGGGACATTTTCACGCCAAGATAAACTTGCAATTAAAAATTGTTCCGAAAGAGAATGAATGAATGACTTTGCAGTCCAAAGCAACGGGCCACTGTTTTTGCTTCACTGAAAGCCTAGGCTGTGAGCTGTGGATGGCAATGTCACAATATATGGGCTCTCCACTTGTCTTAAAATAAATATGAATGGGAAGGAAGAAAATGGCAGTCCAAACCAAACACAGTGACTTTTGATGGAAAAACATATATCTATATTGGCCAATAGCAATAACTTCTTCCTTTTGGCAAGTTTTTGAAGGAAAAAAAACCTATATGGCCCACCATATGTGTTTCTTGAAGGCTTTTCTGTTATTTTAAACCAATAAATGGCATTTGCGTTGCGTGTAGATCATAAACGTATAAGCTATAATTTTGATTGTTTATTTTTCTTTTAATAAAAAAAATCATTATTTTAGTTTGCCTACCTATTAAAAAATTCTTTGTTCAGCCTTTGAGTCCAAATTTCTCATAAATTAGGTAAGGGGTGAAATTTCTGTGCAGCTTCTTGGTTCAAATATTTCATAGGCTTCTGTTGAATTTTTAATCATTTGAGTTATTTTCATCAACTACTAGCCTTGTACTATTCACAGTCAACGGTCTTTGTTCTTGTGATAATATCTTTATAAATATGATCGCCTCATGCTGTTCAGTGTTCATTCTCATCTTTGGGTGGATAAGGTGTTGATCCTACAGTACTACTCCACGTAGGAAGATTTCAACTCTTCTTTTATCATTGTTTATCTTTCAGATTATTGGCTCAGTCTTTTTATATCCTCATCACCTGCATACATACGTTCTGTTTTCTTGGTGTTGAAAGCTTTCAGTTTCAGAAATGGCGCAATTTGGTGGAAATCCCTTCTTCAGTTGCAGAAATTGCCAAAATCCTCTTGCGCTGCGTGATGACCTTATATCCAAAAAGTTTGTGGTAAGCAATTCCTTTATTGATGTAGTTGAGTTGACTCCCTTGTTTATCAACAATATTTTGGATGAAAACTAAAAACTCTATGCTATTATTATTTATCCCAAAACTTATGGCATGATATTTGATCTATATTTTTTCTTTACCCTCCTGTCACTCTGGTCAAATCCGTTACTTGATGGATGAGCGTGTTAGTTTGGTTAAACAAGCACTAACTTAATTAGTCTTATGATCAAACAATTTAATCACAAATGTATGCTTATATTAATGAATTAATGTGTGCAATTATATGTCCAACAATGAAATGTGTTGTGTTATTTAGACAAAATCAGGGGCAGGATATATGTTCTCTCGTGCAATGAACATCATTGTGGGACAAAAGGAGGACAGGCAGTTGATCACTGGCGTTTTCTCTATTGCTGACATATTTTGCAGCAACTGTGGAGAGGTCTTGGGTTGGAAGTACGTTCGAGCTTATGAAATATCCCAGAAGTTCAAGGAAGGCAAATTTATAATTGAGAGAGCAAAGATTGCCAAAGAGTACTAATAGCACTTTGCTGCTCATAATAATTCCATTTGGAAACTCTTTTTTCACTTGTTGGTTTATATTTATAATTTGGGACAAATTTGGATTTGGAGGCGCAAGCATTGTTTGTTGGGTCGTTTTTCCAGCTTGGGGAAAACAAATGTTAACCCTTGCCTTAAAAGGTACATAGCATTTTATAATGTACGACATCCATCAATTGTCGTTTCTCCGGCGGATGCATAAGCAATCAACAATCTTGTGCCTTGTGGTGCATGCAATTTCCTTCACCTTCAGCAGGCTTACCACATATTTGAATTTCTTTAATGTGGCCCAGCCGTTGTGTTTTGAACTTGGGAGATGATCAAACTATGCAAATCTCTTAAAGAGTACATTCATATAATTTCAAATACTCATGCAGCATACTAATCAAGCACAACATAAAGCCAGCAGCAAGAAGAGGTTAATGTTTCGGCTCAACACGAAAAACAAGAACGTAGCAAAGTATACTGCCATCAATAAATAAAATTCCTCCTTAAGGATTACTAGAACACAATACAAAGGTGATCTCAAGATTGTGAAAGAATTCTATTCTACTGTTCTTGGAAGTTGGAAAGAAGACAACTGATCAAACAAAAATACAAGTAAACGTGAACTGTCATCAAGTTTAAATCTTCTGTAACTGATGTTTTACATCATTAACTAACAATAATCACACATTTGAGGATGTTTTACTCACTAGCTGTGTGATCCACTGTCCCCATGCACCGGATGCCGCCGAATATCAAACTGGTCAACAGACTCCAAAGGAGTGGCCGTCTCATTTCTGATCCTCTTGATCTTAGGGCTTAACAATCCCCTGTGCCTAAACCCATACAGCTTAAGCACCTGGTTATCTGCAAAGTTGAAAGCCCTCTCCATGCTGCTCAAACACCTCTCAACAGGGTAATCCCCGTAACTTCCACAAGGCTTGCAACCCACAAAATGGGTCACAAATGGCCACCTCTCGTCACCCAAGCCAGGATGATATTTTTCGATCATCTCTTCATACCGATCCACCAATCCAGCCCAGTAACCGTGCAAATAGTAGGAATTCTCAACATACACCTTCTCCATCCACTGATCCTTCTGTGAAAGCAACAAGTATATCAATGCTGACTGATCATCGGCCTCAAACGCCGGCCTCCCCTTCAAATTGGCAGTCAAAATCTTTCCAGCCTCCTCTCTTATCGGACCCTTGGGACCCATTGGAGCCCAAGCATCAAGCAAATCCAGAGACCACTGGCAATTCCTAAACAAAAAACTACCGGTATTCAACGCAATCCACGACTTCTGCTCAAACAACAAATCTGGGTACCCATGAATCACAAGATTATGACTATTATACTTAGAGAGTGGAAGCTCAAACACCATATCAGTAAACAATGCATCACTGTCCATCCACCAAATCCACTCAACCTCGGGATGCGAAAGCATCAGTCTTCGAATCAAAGGCAATTTGGCCCAATACCCAGCAAGTTCCTTATCTAGATGAGCTAAATTATACACAATCTCAATGCCATGAAGTCTACAATAATCAATCTTGTTCTTAATTACTTTCAACAAATAATGGTCCCCAATTGGGTTATCACACGGCTTAGGAGGAGACCCAGTTACGAGCAAAACGCGAGGCTTACCGTTAACCAAGCTCGGGAACTCAGGGTTGGATTGAAGCCAAGCCTTCCGCTCTTTGTCCCAATTCGCGATCTTGGGTCCCAGACTGTATGTGATGTTGGGGTTGATCTCGGTCTGGGTCAGCTCATCCGGGTCGTTGGGGTCGGAGTCGGATCGGATCTCGGCGAGGATCCGATTGGTCTCCTCGATGAGGTTCTGGTTGACGGCGTCGGCCTCGGAGCTACCCAGGTTGCCGACCCCGATTGTGCCTCGGAGGACGAGGATGGTGACGAAGCCGCAAAGGATGGTGATTTTGATGTTGTTGAAGGTCTTCTGGATCTGGCGGCCACGTGGCAGAGACCCATAAGCACGACCTGCTCGGCCATTGGCCGAGGTTCCGGTGGTGCTAGTGGGCAACCCACCAGCACTTCTCTTCTGAGCTGTAAAACTACTGTCTTGACCCATCTCTCTCTCTCCCCCTCTCTCTCTCTCAAACCTGCTCAAACTGTATATGTATGTAATATATGCTGTTGGCTTGTGTAAATTTGAGTGTGTTTTGGGTTTTTGGCGTGGTATTGTAAATTTGTATTATAAAAAAGGCTAGAAGAAGCCTGGAAGACGCTGTAAAACCCTAGAGGAGGGTGATGGGGAAGAAGAGGACATGGTGGGAGGGTTTGGTTATGGCAAGGTGGCGACTGCTGGCGAGGTTAGTTCGAGGTCCGTCTGATTGTTTGAGAGATGATTAGAAATTGGGGAAATGTAGAGACATGTGTCCAACACCGACTGTCGTGGGGCTTTATGTTTTTATATTTTATTGTCTGATCTGGATTTGGACTAATTTTTTAAATTATTATTTTTGGCCCAAATCCCATTGGGTCTTGTTGAAAATGAATATGGAGCCCGGATTTACTGGACCTCTGACCTACGGTAATCATGTGTATCATCTCCCATGAGAGAGAATTGTGGGGCATGCCTTCATCACCACACATTGTGTTGACTGGTGGAAACAGGTCAATGTAGTAATGGTATTTGATGAGGTATCTTGCAAAATTGTGTTATATCTCCAAATAAATGATGAATAATGTTATCATGTCTAATTCCTGAATATGAGAATTGCGATAAACTTTAAGTCGATGAAACTGTCATGTCTAATTCCTTGAAGATAGACTGAAAGATGTTCATTTCCGTATTTTAAAACACTAAAAAGTAAAGACTAAGAAATGCCACGTTCTCATTTCCATTTTTAGTGAAACCTTAAAGAAAATACTTAGTCGTATCGCCTTAGACTTCAATAGCTTGACACTTTGATGAAGCGACACACATTTCTAATTTACTCATTTAAGATGAGAAAACAATGGATGTCTTTTTTATTTCCTTTCCAACCATTGCTATAATCTCCAACCTTTTAATCATTCAGGGTCAATGGGAGCCTCCTAAGCTCAGCAGCTGTGTCCGGCCTGTTCTGCACCTCCGCCTCCACGGCTGGAATTTGACGCGTGGTACTAAACCACCAAGAAACGCGTTTCAGCTTCGAAACGCCGACTTGTACTTTCCATGAAGAATGTTCACTCCCACGCCACTTTCAAGCGCGTGCAAAACAACCCCCTCCCCAATTCCACGTCGTCTGACTAACCCAACTGGACATGTGAGTTTGGAGCCAGATTGGGGATCGAGGGCCCCACAAGATCCCCATCTCAGTTGCTAATGTCAGTCTCCAGTGTCTTGATGCTCATGGCCCATGTGCCATGTCTCAACTCCCTGTCTCTCTCTAGCTGATAGCAGGAGCAAAGCAAGCCTTTTTTTGCTGCAGTTGCTTGCTTGCCCTTTTCATTTTTTCATTTTTCAATATTTTTATTAACAGTGTTTTATTTCCATTTTTCATTTGATTTTTTTGTTGGTAATATATAAATAAGAAGAGCAGGCCTCATTAATCTAATAAGATGCAATTACTTGCGGTGATGACGCTCAATTAGACGCAAAGAAGACAACTGTGACAAACAATTTAATAAAATTGAGTACAAGATTAGACAATTTACCTTCCTAACTTTCTGGATCACAAGGATTATTAAATTAATCAACCAACTGGTAGACTAAAATGTGATGAATTTACCAATAGTTTACAACTTGGCTAAAATTTCAGAAAAGTGAAAGAAAACAGAGTTACAAAAAACATATAAAATGTGATCATTTGATACAATTTTCCCTAAGCTCTCAATACAAGTTTACCAACCACTTCAGATTCAAAGCCAGCTCAACCACTATCACCATGCAAAACACTCAAAATTCAATTCATTTGGCCAAATGAGTAACCATTCAAACAGAACAGGTATACAAACATTGTATTTCCATTACCAATGTCATCTTGCTTCAGATATTATTCAAGAGTTTTGCATTTTCAACCAATGCATAAGGACACAGAACCGAAAGGAATGCTAAAGAAAGAAAACTGTACAAGTTATAGGCATACCGATTAAGTTGCAGCAGATTTCTTCTTTTCCTTCTTTACCTTCTTAATTTTCTTCTTCACCTCCCTCTTTGTCATCTTCTTCTTCACCTTCCTCTTTGTCATCTTCTTCTTGGTCTTCTTTGTCTTGCCCATCTTCTTTTTAACTTTCTCTTGATCCTTTGCTTTGGCGCAGTCTATAAGGCTGAGCTTTTCCTTATTCCTTGTTGGCTTGAAAACCTCAGTGATTGAGGGGTCCAACAAATCACTTGAGCAGCGAAGAGTTACACCCATAGCCATGGCTTCATCCCAAAGTTCTCTACCCTTTTCAAAGTCCCCTCCCCTACAAAACTTGGGAATCAGCACATCATAAACGGGTCCATAACCACCCAATGAGCTTGCCTTCATCCTTTCAAATAGCTCAAGAGCATAATATGGTCTCTCATTTCCAACGAGTATACCAATCAAATCATAGTAGAACTTGCAATTCGGTTGCAGGCCCTCTGCAAGCATCTCATCCACCATCTTATTTCCTTTACCAAATCTGCCGGACAAATACAACACTCTTGCAACAAGATAATAGCTGACCCAATCCGGAGAACAACCTGTTTTCTTCATAGTCTCAAGAATGTTACAAGATTCCTTGACTCTTCTTGTTCTTCCCAAGCAAGACAGCAATATATTGTAACTAATGGAATTTGGAAAAATTCTATATGTCCTCATCTCAGTGATCACATTTAAAGCTTCGGGAACAAGTCCAGAAGGATTGCATTTGAGGTTTTTCATACAAAGGCCCCTAAGGAATGTGTTAAAGCAAAACAAGTCCGGCATGATCCCAGCTGACTTCATTTCTTTGATTATTCTTCTTGCTTCCTTCACATTCTCCTGCACAGACCATCCATATAAAAGACTCTTATAAATGCAAGGCTCTATACCAGCAATCTTATCCCTATGGTGCCAAACAACCCCTTCTGCTCTCTTAGCATGCCCTCTAGAACAAAGCGCATTGACAATGCCGATGACTGTATGACCATCTTGAGGACACTTGTATGTGCTCAAATTCTTAAACAGACCCAATGCCTCATCTTCCCTCCCCAACTTGACCAAAGCCTCAGCAACAAGACCAAAAGTCTGAGCTTCCATTGCCCTGCCAGTCTTCACAAGGTCAGAAAGTAAAATGTGCATTGCCGTGTGGTCCTTCTTCTCTGCGAAAACCCGAATGCCATAGTTATAATCCTTGTCTTTCAAACCATAATCCAAATTCTTATGACACCACGAGAAGAACCTGAGCAACCTTCTAGTGGGTGCTTCGCTTTTGCAAGAATCAATGACTTGGGTCACAAGTGACGATGTCAAGGAACCTGTAAATTTATTTAGACTCAATTCCAAATCATCTAAACCGCCAATTGCTCTCGAAACAATAGTACACAGCTCTTGTAGCTCGGGCGACGCAGGCAACATGGTAGAGTAGTAAAAACACAAAACGTGTTGAGATTTCGGAGTACTGACTGCATTGTACAGCAAACACCTCCGCCATTTTGATATCAATAAAGAACGCATGTTCTATGAGGATATTCGTCAAACAGTTAGACTGCATTATATAAAAAGCTTGACCCCAACATCAGCTGCCAGCCTACTGCAAAAGGAGAATACTTACCAGCGTTTTATGACCTCTAATTTGTAATAGCCGTTAAACGACACGTCAATACGTGTCCCTTGCATGTAATTCAAGGAAACCAACAAGGGCATAATGGGACACTCGCAATCTGCCAGGCCTGCAATCCTCAAATTCCATTACTGTGCCTGAGACGGTTAAGTTGGCAACCCCAAAGTTCTCTGATTGATCACCGATTCAACCCTCCAATGCCGAATTCGAAGTTTTAGAATAAAAAAGTTGATAACATTACGCCTTAATCTGATCAAGGACAATTGGGTAGCTGGTGGAATTGAGATCGAGAACGATGAGTGAGGTATTTGAGGGGTACGAGCGCCAATACTGCGAGCTCTCCGCCAATCTATCAAAGAAGTGCACGGCTGCTACCGCTGTTGATGGAGGTAGTAAATCTCTGAACAAAGAAATGCATTTGCTTTTTCTTTTCGTTTTTCTTTTCTTTTTGTGGGTTATTGGGTTTGGCAAACTCAACGTAAAAAAATGCATTTGGGTTTTTTTATCCCAAAAAGAAAAAAGTTGTATTGGTTTATTTTTATTATTATTTTTTCATTTCGTATTGGTGGGATGCATCATGAATTTGGATGTTTTATTTTTCTTGTTTTGATTAAAATTTTGTTCATATGCGCTTGTGAGAGACTTTAGTATGTGCATAAAAGATGGTGTTCTGTGAATTCTTGCTTTGCAGAGCAAAAAAAGCAGAGAATTGCAGAGGTAAAAGCTGGATTAGATGATGCTGATACTTTGGTATGTCACAACCCCAGTTAATTTTCATTGCTTAGATGTGTGTTTTTGTTTATGGTATTAGATTAATAAATCATGCCATGTTGAAAAACCTATCCAGCTTAGGAAAATGGACCTTGAGGCAAGGAGTTTGCAGCCAAGTGTGAAGGCAGCGCTTCTTGCCAAGTTAAGAGAATATAAGACTGATTTGAACAATCTGAAAAGCCAAGTTAAGAGAATCACATCACCTGTTGCTAATCATGCGGCCCGGGACGAGTTGCTGGAGCCCGGAATGGGAGAAACCTTGACGGTATTTTCTCCATACCTCTGTGTTTGTGTGCGTGAGTATGTGCTCGTGTGTGCATTGCTGCATGCATCTATTTTTGCTCGTCATAATTTTCTTGTTCATGGCATGGGACGTTTGATTATGCGACAGACATCGAACGATCAAAGAGGGAGATTATTGATGACAACCGAAAGATTAAATCAGTCTACGGACAGGGTCAAGGAGAGTAGAAGAACATTGCTAGAAACAGAAGAGCTTGGGGTCTCAATCCTCCAAGATTTACATCAACAACGCCAGTCTCTTCTACATGCCCATAATACAGTATGTGTGCTATGCCTACTAGCCTTAGTTACTCTGGGTTTATGTGTGACATTGCCACAGAAAGCGTAGGCTTGTTTGTTGCTTGCTTCTGTGCCTAAATTAGTCTGATGAGAATATGAGATGGTTGAGGTGGTAAACCTAATTTTGTTTCTTCCTTTTGACAGATCCATGGGGTGGATGGAAACATTAGCAAGAGCAAAATGGTCCTGACAGAAATGACAAGAAGGATGAATAGGAACAAATGGATTGTTGGCTCCATAATCGGAGTCCTTGCCCTTGCCATCATGCTTATCCTTTATCTTAAGCTTACCCGCTAGCCTATACTGCTGCTGCACTGCCTTGTCTGATTTTACTGATTTGACACTTCAAACTCTCCTTGTTCTTTATGTTGTTGGATATTGTTTCTAGCTTCTCTTTTTCTTCTCTCGACTCTCGAAGATCTTGGCTAATTCCAACGAGGGGCAAACAGAGTTGTGTTTTTGTTCTATCTTACAAAATTGTTGTTGGAATGAAGGAAAGCAAACCATGGACTCTTATGAGACGAAAGCATGGCTGAAAAAAAAGGACAAGGAGTAGAACGTTTATCAGGGTGAGCACCTAAGTTCATCATCTGAAAACCCCTTCTTTGTTCAGTAAACCACAACTTCTACATCAAAGAAAGAAAAAGAGCTTACTATGCAGCTTCTTCATATACTGAACACAAAGCTAAGGAAAAAGATACTTCCATTATGATATTTAAATGACTACAGAATTCCATACTAACAAAAGGAAAAAAAAAAAAAAAAAAAAAAACCCTCCTCCTTTAAGAGATAATCTAAAACTTCTCCATTGTGACATTATTCAAAATCTCAAACATTTCTTCACAAAATAAATTCGGAAGATTAACATATTGCCAGTTTGGATTTTGAATATGGTGATGAATCAAGGATGAATGCTTCCCCACGCCAGCATGCAGAATTTGTGGTTGAAGAGCTCTATATCATGTGTGTTTTGGGAATTTTTGTCCCTGAGCAAGATGGGCAAGGGGATGCTTTACCAAGATCTGATCTTTGATTTTATTGATTTAGAACCAGAAGCTTGCAGCCTTGATCAATGTCCTTCAACCAATATGTTGATGCACCTAGTATATTTCAATTAAACGGGCAGCACCAATCCCCACTCATCACATAGAGAACACCAAAAGATGCAGGTAACTTCCATAACGAAAGGATTACGGGAATTAATGCATCTTAGGAATGAGACAACCGTCCCTCATTACCAAATACAACGACTTCAATATCAAGAAGCACCATATTCCGGGGAGGAATCCCTTGACGCAAGCTCCTCATCATCCTTTTCATCCTCCTCATCATCATCATCAACAGAAGCAGGTTCACCATTAAGATCCACATTTACACCATTTAACTTCCTCACAAACTGTCCCCGCACACGAGGCCTCCTTTCGGCAAGTCGTTTTCGATTAACATACCGGATCTTTTTGTCAAAACACCGCTCCTTTCTCTTTTGCCTAAATTTAATCAATGCTGCTTCCCTTCTGTCAACCTTATTTGGATTCACTTCGGTTGAAGATGAGTTTCCAAATGATGGCCATGAATGAGTATTAGGCATTTGACCAGGTTGTAAGCATATACTAACCGGGTAATAGGGGAATGACGCCATCCCATTTAAATGTGGAGGGTAGTGTGGAAGATGATTGTATTGCGGCATAATAGCTGTTGTAGCATGATTTTGCATATCATGCAGATTCTTTTGATAAACATGGGCTGATGATGACATCATAACTTGATTGACAGCCCCGGACATATAATATTGATAGGCAGCTTGGGCAGGTGTGCCAGAAAAATCATGTTGACGTTCATTTCTTGGATGCACAGGCATCAGAGAGTATCTATCTTCCTCAGCACTCTTTTGATTTTGAAGTTCCATTGATCCAGATGGGGTACTAGACCTCTCCAATGATAGAGAATCTGGGATACTATTGCTGCTTGGCAAGTCGTCTCCTTGTGAATAGCTTTCCCATGCCTCTCCATTTCCATGTACTTGGGGATTATCAACCACTTGGAGACCACATGCTTGATGTTTCTCTTCTATCCTCAAATGTTCAGCGGTAATGTCTTCAACATGGGCAACCACTTGAGAGTTGATTGTAAGTTTGCTTGATTTGACATAGGTAAAGAAGGCAGATGACTCGCCAATCTTTAGTTCGCTCTTTTTTGGGCCAGATAAAAATTTTCCTGAGGAATATTATCAGAGAAAAGGGCAAAAGTTACCCAAGTGGTAAAGATGAAAAATGGCATACTGAAAAAACCATTCTGCTTCTAAGGAAAAAGTTACTCAGATCAGTGAAGTCAAATGAATGATGCCGCTAGACACAATACACAGCCCTTAGCCATGCATGATGGTATCTAGGGAACACATGTTCATCGCATATGATATAACAAGAATTCTCACTGTTTCTGTTGTCATCATCATTAAAAATAATAAATAAAACTATACAAGAAGTTTGGAAAAAGCATTAAACTTTTCTCACATACTTGTTTTGGAAAAGAAAATGAAAACAATAAAGACTGCAGTAAGACAAACAACTACAGGCTCAATGTCAATGATTGTCTCTAGCTTTAATTGTATTAAACTCTCAAAGTCTTCAAAGACTGTCATCTTTCCAAGCATAAACCAAACTGAAGCCAAAACCTCAAAATATTTTCAGAACTCAGCTTGAGAAAAAAAAAATTTCAGAAAAGGCAGTAAAATTGAAATGATGTCGTCTCATGATATTACTTTAAGTGATCCTATGTATTCATCCATTACTTGTTTCAACTACACAAACTATGATTTATTTATTCAAATGCAATGCGGAAGATGATAAACAACATTAAGCTCAGGAGATGCCCGGACTTTGGGAAATCAGCAATTCAATTGTCACAAGTGGCTCACCAGTTTGTCGGTCACTTATTCCAGGAACATCAGGCCGAAATTCTGATATATTCTTGGGTGGAAGCTCCATAACAGCAGCAGACTAAAAAATAAAAAATAAAAACATAAAGAAGAAGAAGCCAAAACAAGAAAAGAACATATATAAATACACGTTCATAGTCATTATAAACATCACTGATTTTCCTAGGGAGCTGGATCCACATATAAATAGTTAGGCTTCACAGTTTCAGCACAGAAAAATGAATTTAGGTTTCAGCAAAGAAAATGTAGACAAGTAAACCATGACTGGTCCATGACATTGTGAGTCGTATGTCTACTTGGTTCATGGTTGAAGTAAGAGCTACTAATAAGTAATCAATTTAATCTTAAATGAAGAGAAAACCTAAGTTCCTTAGTTAATTATGAATTATTTGACAGATTCATCCCGAGTCCTAACTAATTTTTCGGATTCCAACAGTTGTTTCATATTGAATCTAGTTCAGCATGAGTTATTACTGAATATATGATGTCTGCTGGTAGAGAAAAATAGAATTTCAACTAAAAAGATTTATAATGAGTTACATTCAGTTTTCAAGCCTTTTTTTTTTTTTTTTTTGAATAGAAACATTGTATTGATAATCAAGAGGAAAAGCCCTCGATCAAACAACAAAACCTATAATATAGAGTGTCTGACCTACTAAGACTGAAAGTAATTCTGTAATTAAAAAACACAAAAAACAAAACTTAAGTAAAATCATCTTAAAACTGCCATCATGTCTCTCATGATGATAGAGTAGTGATAATCCTTAAACTGCCCCGAAACTGAAGCCCAAAGAGATGCCCAAAATTTAATTCTATCCCATTAATGTACATTTTAAATATTTAACATCTAAAATGTGTTACTTAGATATATACAGGGCCCTTCAACAGCCGGATCCTGCACCTCAAATAATATCTATGCATATGTACTCTTAGGTGTTATGCCTAATCTAAAATGCTTCCACATGTATTTTGAGTAGCACTATGGACTCACTATGGACTCTTCTATTGCTATATAATCCTACTTGGACTGATTCCATAGATCACCCAAATAAAACTCAAAACAACGTATAAAGTTCACATTTCACATCTTGTATATATTGCATATTAGACCCCTCTTAGACCAATACAAGCAAGACTTATTACATGATGCAGCGTCAGTAGAGATATTGGTCTCACAATGAACATAATTTTTAGTTTGTATATATTTAACAATCAAGCTTCAGCTCTATATTTATTAATTATTAAACCCAACTTCTCTTCTTTAATTTTCAAAAGAATAAAATAGCATAGTCACCTTATCTTCCTGATGAGCTGACATTCCTATCTCTGGATTGGCAGACTTGTCATCTGTGTCATCCGAGAATAAGGTAGTACTGTTTGTATTAGATCCGCTAGGGTCTGATATCACCGGATCAACATAATTCAAAATGTTCTTCTCTGCTAGCCCAAGCTGCCAAATACATAAAAATAAAATCTAATTACTGATTTGAGAGGAAATAGTGTTCTAGTGCACACGCATCAATTATGTAGTGGAACTTGAAAGAGAGGTATTACTGATGCACAGACATGGCTCTTTGAAATAAAGGTTACGAACTTTAACTTCAGATGAGAGAAGGCTGAGAAGCCAAGTAATCTAATTGCATGCTTTCTTCTGAACTACCCAAGATAATACATTCACCTAAGAGGGTCATAAAGAGATATACTAACAGCCTAAAGCAACATCAACACCTATATGATGGCAAGGGGCAAGAGAAGATTGACTGGTATGGAAGGGGTAGAGGTAATTAGAAGAACAGCTCTCTAAACAAAAACATCAAAGTCATGCAAACGAACCATGCGCCTTCTTCTCCACATGTGTGTCCACAAGTTTAGAAGCTCATTAGTTCGTAAAGGCTTCACGAGATAGTCTGCTGCTCCAAGCTTCAAGCACTTAACAACAGTAGAGACCTCGTCTTTTGCCGACATCACTAACCAAAAGAAAAGGTTCAACAGTGAGGTTAAGACAATACTTTTCCTCAAAAGGAAATATTTATCATTAAGTGAAAATGGCAGTGGTAAGACTAAGAGCAAAACATGCTTACTGATTACAGGAATGCGCCTTAACTCTCTATCCCGTGTGATGTACTTCAACATTTTCATGCCTTTGTTCATTGGAAGGTCAACTTCAGCAAGTATGAGATCGATATCAGGCCCCTCTGCATTCAATGCATCAATCACCTGTCTAGGAGACCTCACGGAAATAACTGTGAAGCAAAGAAATCAAGAGTCATAATTTAACACACGCACATCATCTTCCATATTCTTAATAGCCAAACAGAAGATAAACGTTAACATTTTCCTAACCAAACTTCAGAAACCAAAGAGTACCCCACACCAAAAAAAAAACAAAATTTAAGCACACGACTCACAAAATTCAGCACCACATGCAGTAAATTAATTAAAGAAATAAAAGAAAATGGTATATTACCCTGGTAAGAGCATTTCACAAGAAGCGTGAAAACCTCTTCCGAACTGTACTCGTTGTTATCGCACAACAAAATTCTCACTCTGCTCCTGTCTATGAACCCATCAGCACCGCCGCCGCCGCTATCACCAGCTTCACAGTCTCTGTTCAAATTCAGCGCCTTAGACTCCATAGCCAAAACCCACCAAAGCCCAAAACCACTCCGAAATGAAATAGCTTTAAAATCCCATCACCACCTCAAACCCAAACCACTCCTAAGGGAAACAACTTTAAAATTCCATCACCACCCCAAACCCACCCTCAGGAAAATACTCAGATACTAGAGAACCTCCATGGCAGAAAGCTCCACTTCACGGCCTCTATCAGAATTCGAAATTAGGGTTATGGGGGTCTCCAATTCCCAGCAACTTCATTCCCAGTCAAAAACCCAAGCCCGCCGTCCGTACAATCGAAGACCCCGAGCGAGCTGAGACGTCAGTTGATCGACGGTTGAGAATTCTTGACCAGCAGGGGAGCGGATAGAATAATTAAGAGTAAACAAAGTTCCGAGTTTGGATCACCGGCCAGCAGCTCACGTTAGCACAGCCAAAATGGGTCTGACTCGGCCTTGCGAGGCCGAAAAAGAAAGGAAGTGAAAAACAAAAAGAGCCAAAAAGAAGGAAAAAAAATAGAAAAAGAGTAGACGGAAAGTAATGAAATTATTAAATTCTCAATCCGCCTATTGGGTATTGGGTACAATTGATCTGTTGTATCTCTCAGCTCCATCTGTCCAATTATAGAAGGGATATTTATTTTTTATTTTTTATTTTAAAATAATGTACGGGTATAGTTACTAACGTGCGCCTACACGGCTACAGGCGCATGTTAGATGAGAGGAGACGTGGAGGGTTGGGGAACAGAAAAGAAAAGTGCAAAGAGGTAGTGTTCAGGTTAGGATTGTTTGGTAGAGACAGAGAGGAGGACTACATGGATATGTTTATTCATTTTTATTTTTGGGTTTTTCCTCAAAGAAAATATGTCAAATTGTTTTTATTCTTTTTGGGGAAAGTGAAATATATCACAATTTGGCAATTGTTTGTCTACATTTCCGCATCCATCGAAGTTAGAATGGGTTGATCATACAACTGCTTCAACTATAATGGGAATAATTTAGTTATAAAGTTTATAATTAGACTGCATTTTATGATAAGTTGTTGAATCAATTTTCAACAATTCAAACTTTGTCCATAAACCCTAATTCAAATGATATTGGGGGTGCAATGATGAAGGGGTAGAGCCTTACATTAAACTCTTGTTGTGAACAAAAAGAGAAATATAACTCTAAACTTAGAAGTTAGGCTCCATAAGATATAAAGTGAGTTATCTTGTATTAGTGAAAAGAGAATGACCAATATTTTCTGCCATGAATTCCTCAAACATTCAGAGAGCGTGTAGAAAGGCTAGTCCATATATAAACGATGTAATATACCATTTACTGCAAAACAAGAGGAACCTCCAAATCTATAGAAGCAGAGCATTTAGTTGATTGACAAGCGGCATGTGTAGTGCTGGAAATCAGTAGAGAAAGAAAAAAAAACACTACTCTATGGGGGTAGCCTTTGCTCTTCTGCAAGAGTTTTTCTCCACATGCAATTACCAGATTAATCTCACAAACATGTGTCTGTCCCATCCTGTACCGAATTAAAAATGAAGCACAATAAACACATGGACATTCATCTAAAAAGCCTAAAATACCAAGCACATGATATTATCCCAGAATCAAAATAACACATGCTTAAAAAAAACATGTTCAGTAGGGGCTTGGGGACCATCTTGCAACACCATGACATGGATGAAGCTGAGCTGCATGCAGAATTCTGTTCCTTGCCTAACCAGGAACATTTGTGGCCCGTTTTCCTACTTGCCCTTGTGATGGAAAAAGCTAAAGCGACATGTAACGACTGCTTGTACCGGATCTGATCAGCTGATGGAATCTCAATTACATGATCTCTCAGAAGCTGATCTCACTCAAATTGGCTGAGTCTTTTTTTTTTTTTTT